ACAGCTGAGAGTTTTCCTCAATGCAAAAGCACTTATCTAAGAGAAAATTACACTTTAATTGCCCCAAATAAGTCAGGCTCTGCCATTGATTAGATTAAGGTGAGTAAACACTAGGTGTACTATACATTTTGATTAAAAATGTAGTAAAGAGCTAACGGTCTGTGGTGTTTCAGCTTTGGCTATATCTGTCAAATTAGATCCCTCCTTTATTGAACCTCACTCTGGAAACATTTCCAAAGGATTACGTGTTGGCCCATTAATTGCTTGTTTTTTCTCATTGATGGACAATGTGCTGAGCAAAGTGGTGGCAGAATTTTTTCCCTGAGAATCGGGGGCAATCGCCTCAGGTTTGCTGCTCCTTGCAAAGGTGGCTGAGAGAAGAAACTCCTGTAAGCAGCAGAATGGCTCCTTCTTCAAAAGCAAAGAGAATAATGGTGTTTTGATCAGAAACCAGGGATTGCAGTACAAGATATTTTTTGCTTAGGTTCATTGCAGCACAAAATTCACTTAATTCATTTAATTGTGGGTTCTGTTATTTTGGGCTTCCAGAACCAAAATCTCATCACTGATGCCAAATCGTGATCAAACAACCTTGGTAGAAAACTGCACAGGCTTTCCTTCCTTGGGGGCTGCTGCTTGGGTCTTTTTTCTGCAGGGGCTATCACAGTTTTCCCAGTAACTCTCCACTGGGAGAAGGGTGTTGGAGCAGGCAGGGCTTCGCTGACCATTTCGTGGGGATGGGTTGGAGCGGGGCTGGCTGCAGCCATTGCTGCTTCTGGTCTTGCAGAAGCAAAAAAGTCCAGCAACGCGAGAAAAGTCGTCTCAGGGCAGGCACAAGGGCTCTGTCTCCCCGCACGCCTCGGGAACGTGGGTCATGGCCAGGGCTGCAGAAAAGAAGATGAAAGATGATATAAAAGCATTTCTGGTCTCTGCAGCACGTTGCCAGCAGCAGTAGGCTGCTTTCAAGTCGATTGTTTCAAAACATATCTTTTAAATGAATTAATAATTAGACGCAGCTGCCATCTTGTTAACATAATGAAGTGATGGTGGAGTGAACGAAGCAGACAGAAGTGGGTGTTAATGCTGGCCTTCCTCTGGTCTTGGGCCAGGCACAAAAGGCTCAGTGGTGGGAACTATCTTGTGCTTTGCTGGAGTATGCTCCCTTCTCTTTGACTGTTGGGGGAGCTTAGACTTCCTGTGCCTCAGTTTCCCCCTTTGCAGCACGTTGCCTGTGGGAGTCCTGTGCTCTCACGTCCAAGGGACAGGAGCTGTTTGATGTGAGTGCCCTGGAGTGAGATGTGGGCACTGTTCAGGGGCTGCTTAAGGGAGTGGAACATCTCCCTGATGAGGAAAGGCTGAGGGAGCTGGGGCTCTTTAGCTTGGAGAAGAGGAGGCTGAGGGGTGACCTCATTCATGTTTATAAATATGGAAAGGGTGGGTGTCAGGAGGACGGAGCCAGGCTCTGCTCAGGGATGCCCAATGACAGGACAAGGGGCAACGGGTACAAGCTGAAGCATAGGAGGTTCCACAAAAATATTAGAAAAAGCATTTTCCCTGTGCGGGTGCCAGAGCCCTGGCCCAGGCTGCCCAGAGAGGGTGTGGAGTCTCCTGCTCTGGAGACTTTCAAACCTGCCTGGATGCATTCCTGTGTGATCTACTGTAGGTGATCCTGCTCTGGCAGGGGGTTGGACTGGATGATCCTCTGAGGTCCCTTCTGAGCCCAAACATTCTGTGATTCTGTGCTTGTGAAGAGCCCCGAGGCTGTCACTGTCCTGTGAGTTCCTCAGCTCCTGAGCAGTGAGGGAGCCCTCCCATAAGCTCTGACTCTATCTGACTGTAATTCTGGCGCCTCGTGAAAAGTATTTCATTTCTCTTTCTTCCGTCGGGTTAAACCTGTGGTTAGGATGAAGTAGCACTGACAGCCAGCCAGGCATTACACCAGTGAAACGCTTTAGCTGGAACATAAAAATCGATTTGATCTCTTGGCTCATCCTGCTTAATGAGCAAGCCTGGAGCTGGGCCACAGCCTAAACCCCCATGGCTCTGCTGGGGGGAGCTGCTGCCTCTGCTCTGCACAGTCAGGGGTGCCCCTGGGATGCTGGGGCTTTTCCTGGAGGAGGGGAGTTTTGTTTTCCTGGAAGCAAAGAGGTTTGATGAATTAAAACATCTCTCCATGGCAGAGATGGTGCCACAAACTGTGCTCGAGTTCAAGCACGCTTGTGAGCTCCGGGAAAGATGTTGCGTGTCCGTGGTGAAGGCTCTGCTTTCTTGGAAGAGGTTTTCTGTTGACCCTTTTGCCTGGTGTTTTGCCTTCTAGCTTGTCCTGGATCTGTGTGCGCGAGGCAGAGCAAACAGAGTGAGTCCTTGCCCTGCCCTGAGCACAAGGTAGCCTAGCAAACGCACAGAGGAGGCTGGTTAATTAGTTGTATTTTGACACATTTCATTTTTAAGGGCTTTGATCGTGGCATGGAATTGTGGATCTGTCGCCAATTTTGGGCTTCAGATGAATAAATAAATGTTAAACGATCATTTGGCAGTGATGAACCTGCGGCACTCTCTTTGCATGTCGATGTGGTTTCCCTTCTCCCATCTGTTCCTGTCCTCCAACTCTTCCTTGTGGGGTGGTTCTCCAGCCCCCCTTGCCTGATAGCAAGCCCCAGCCTCGCTGAACGGGATGTGCTTGCTCCGACCAGAGATGTGAGGGCTGCCACCTCGGTCAAGAAATGAGAAGTGAAGAACAGCCTCTAAAGAGACTCAGTCCTCATTACACTCCTTGTGGGAACTGAGGTTACTCAGCCTGGAGAAAAGCAGGCTATCGGGAGACCTTCTCGCTCTCTACAACTACCTGTAAAGAGGTTGTAGTGAGGTGGGGTAGGTCTCTTCTCCCAAGTTACAAATGATAGGACAAGAGGAACTGGCCTCAAGTTGTGGCAGAGGAAGTTTACACTGAATATTAGTTAAAACTTCTTCACTGTAGCCAAGTGCTGGAACAGACTGTCCTGGTGGAGTCACCATCCCTGGAGGTATTTAAAAACATGTACATGAGGTGCTCAGGGACGTGGTTTATTGGTGAACCTGGTGTTGCTGGGTTGACTCATGGACTTGAGGATCATAAAGGTCTTTTCCATCCGAAACAGTTCTACGATTGTAAATACAAAACCATGAGTTGCTCTGCTCAAGGCAGGAGAACATGGTGGGGCTGTGTCAGGCACATTCCCCATGGGTTGGAGAAGAATTGTCCTTTTTTTCCTCTAAACCCATCAGCAGAGATGTGGTGCAGGAGAATGGGGAAAGGAAAAATAGCTAAAAGCAGAGAAAGAGAGGAATGGAAAGACAAAACGGTGAACAGAGAAGTGGCACTACTGGAGTGGGAAGACAGGTGTTGCAAAAGGCATTGAAAAAATGTTCTGAGAGATTAGGCTGCACAGAGTTTTCCTTGTCTTTCTGCACTTTTTCCCCCAGCCTTTTTTCTCTTTGGATTCATTTCTCTGTCACACGCTGGTTTTGCCTTTAGCAGGGGTGTCTTGTGGTGAGGTTAGTTAGTCCTTGTTCCTGTCGGGTGAATCACTGATCAACTGACATAGATATTTCTGAAGATGTTTGCTATTTGGAGAAATGCTTGTCATGTGTTCGATCCAGACTATGTTCCTCAAGAAAGTGTTAGTGCAGATATGCACCATATTAAAAATATCTCAGAAGGTATTTATTTGCTTCAGTGCTATAAATGTTATTACCTGAAAGAATTGCTACGACATCAGCCACCCAGTTGCTTTTTTATTGGGTGGCTCCTAGTTATGCAGAGACGTTTTGAGGTGGCATCAAGTGCATGTCTGGCTGAAACCAAAAGCCAACCATTTAAAGCACTTCTTTCTGTGAACCCCTCTGCAATCAAAATTATGCTTGCAGATATGGTGGAGAATAGCGGCCAAAAAGCACCACAGATAGTAAAGAGACACTAACGTCAGTTAGAATTAATGCAATTTCTGCCAGCTGATGTTTGAGAACGCTTCTGTCAGCCTCTGCGGCTGGGCATGTAGGGTGAGCTCTGTGCTCGTGGTATTCTTTAGCCTCTGCAGGAGGAAGGAGGAGAATAATGTCTTCGGGTCTTTTCCTTTCTGTTTGCTTTCCTTTTCCCCTCCCTTACTCCCAACCTCAGATTCTCAGATTGCTGCATTCTTCACTCACAAGAGAAGAATCTGCATTTTTCTCTGCACTAGGGCTCAGTAAATGGCCATGTGGCATTTTACTTTTCAGCAGTTCCTTGAAGAGCTCCCTTGTGGCTGATGAATGCAGAAACTTTGTCATAAGCTAAACCACCCTTCCCTCCCTTTAATCTCGACTGCTGCTTACTCAGGGAGCCTCGCTCGGGTTTTGATGACAGAAGCCCAAAGATTAAGCTGAGTAAGCAGAAGCACGATCGCAATCGCTCTGAAGATGCCTCGTTTTCTTGGCGACTTCTTGTCTTCTCCCGCTCTGTGTGTGTGCACAGATTCTGGGCAGGGTGCCATGCTCTGCCTTAATTGCAGCACAGATTAACGAGAGGCTGCGGTTCCCTCTTGTTGTTGGGTGTCTCAGCTCCACTGTAAACACAGCACCGATGCTCAGCACATGGGGAGGTCAGATTGAGGGAGGAGGCTGGTGGAGAAAAGCCTGCGAGGAGGTAGGTCACTTCAAAGCGGGGTCAGCCTGGAGTGGTGGGATGAGTCTTCTTGCTCGGAGCTGACGTCGTGATGTGGACGGTGGGACAATCAGCTCGGTTCTTCAGTTCTTTTGCTGCTGTTTCAGCTGGGGAACTGTATTGGGTTGGTCTGGGTACCTGACTGCCAGCCAGGGTCAAACCACAACAGGAACGTAAGCGAACCAAGCGACACATCAGTGGTGGGCAGCCCGATGGGAATCTGAGGGGAGTCTCCCCTACCCTCCGCCCCTCAGTTTCGGTGTGGTATTTAGTTTCTGAAGTGAATTAATATTTTTCTCTCTCCCTTTTTCTTCATTTCCAGACAAATGATGCTGCAGGAAATACCTGGAACTGGCTTTACTTCATCCCTCTCATCATTATTGGCTCTTTCTTCATGCTCAACTTGGTGCTGGGCGTCTTGTCAGGGTAAGACACTAAGGCTTGTCTGTCTCCACCTGGTTATGAAAAGGAGAAGACGTGCTGATTTTGGTACTCTGGGATGATGTAGCTGGAGAAGATTGACATGATACATCACGCTGTACGTTGTATCCCTTCACACATTTCCTACCCTGTCCTTTCCTTGCAGTGGGGTGTTTCTATAAAACCGTAGAGCAATAGAATGGGGGAAAAAACATTAATTGAGATGATTCTCAGTCCAGACCTGAGAATTAAGTGAGCTCCCTATAATTGTTCTGGCTTGGGCCTGTACAGCCAACACTTAGTTCTGTGCCATGTAGAAAACCCGTGAGGAACCCACTGATGCCAGAATAAACACTTCAGCGCTGGGGCTGGGCATCGAGGTGTTCGTAGTGTGTTTGTGGGGTAACTGTGCAGCCTGGAGAAAGGGAAAGCTCAGACAAAAATAGTAGTTAAAAGATGTCAGAGTTTTGCTTAGTTGTTTGGGCTTTTTTGTTTTTTTTTTTTGATGTTGATGTGTTGATTTGGGGTTGGGTTTTTGTTTTATTATTATATCTCTAGTTGCTTAACCCAATGCCAATGTAAGCCAATGGGGACACATGGGTCTCTTGATGTTCGAACCGCGGGGATCAGCCAAGGATTTGGTGTTTTATTGCCTATGAGGTTTGGGTCTGGGCCATTGCAGAGATCTAACTGCCAGGTTTGAAGCCTAACTGAAGCGTCCACAGCGTCTGTGGAAATCTGATCTGGAATTAACAACCTGACTCCTCTTAATGGTTTGGCATCTCGTTTTGCACAGTTTCTTATTAGCCCATCCAGGGGATCTAGACTGTATAAATCTATAAAGATGTGGATTTATTTCTGTTTTTTGGCAGCATGTGAAGAGAGAAAAGAGTTAATGCTGCCGAGTGGTAAAAGCCCTTCAGCGCTGCACCTTTTCTTTCTCCCTACGTTACTAGAGAAGGAAAAATGTTTTCCAAAGAACAGACTCATGCTCAATTTTATTATTTTATGAAGAGTCCTATTCTCAAAGCATCTGCTGGAGCAGGGAGGCAGCGGAGCTGTTTCATCTGAGGACTGGGAGACGTGCTGCCGTGGGAGTGGGTCCTGGGGCAGGCTGTGTCCTGCGCTTCTGCTGTTCCTTCGGTAACGGTCCTGATCGATAACTGATCAAAGCCCTTCCATAAAGTCCTGTTGTGCCACAGGCTTTGCAACGGAGCTTCGTGACCGTGCTTGCCTGATGTATGATTTAAGCGAAGGCCAGAGCCAGGGCTGAGCGTGGTTCATGAGGTGGTTCATCTTCCTCGCTCCGCAGCAGGGTCAGCCCACGACGGCTGAAATGATCCTGGTGATTTCATACAAACCTTGGGAGCCTGCAGGCTCCTGTTCTTTTGTGCTGGATTCAAAGGTGTCTGTTGACGAAAATCTGGAGACCTCTGTCTGGCTCTCCTGAAAGCCTCTCGTTGCTTGGGGCAAAATATGAATATTATGTAAAAGTGTATCTTCTATGAAAAATGCAGCCCTGTGAATCAGGCTTCCCTTTGTTAGCGGTAAGGCTGATAATATCTTCTTCACAAAGGGAAGCTTTAAAATTGAATTTTGCATAGTGATTTGACATGCTTGGCTGGAATAATTCCTGGGAAGAGTCTGAAAAGAATAAATATCATAACAGAGGTCCTGACCACACTGCTCAGCAAGTTGCTGGGGGCTTGCAGCTGTTGAGCAGTGAAGGCAGCTGGCTATATCCGAATGGGCTAGAGATGAGAAAACATCAGAAATATGAAAAGACCCTCTGTAGGAAAAAAACCTCAAAAAAATCTCTGGTGGAGGATATTCTTTGCATGGGTTTCTGCATGGAGAAAGAGTCATTGGTAAATGCGTGTTGGCTTGCCTAAGGTACAGTTTCCTTCAAGGACATCGTGCCATGTCCCAGTGTAGGCTTGTGGCTCCTGCAAGGAAGACTCTTGGCAATATCCCACATTCCTGTTTCAATGAAAGAACAAAAAATGTTGGTTTAGGGCTAGAGGTTCCACAAATAGCCCATGAACAAGGTTAACTCTGCAGTCACTCACCTGCCTCTTACTTCCATGATCTGTGCACCTCATAGCCTTTATCCTTGCTGTATCTGAGGGGATGCAGTGCCCCGTTCTCCTTCCCCACATGTTAGAGAGGGGTGGAAAGCAGGGATGTAGTGCCCTGGAGAAACAACTGCAAAACTGAGCTTAGGTCACTGGCTTCCTAGGCTTGCATGTGTTCTTCAGTGCTGTCCCTTTTCACAGAAAGAGCATTGATCAGGTTGTATTTTACTTTCCAACACTTTGTCATACACATCATCGCATTAAAGGGTTAAGCTTCAGCCTGCCACTGTCCACACCTTGGAAAGCCCCAGAAAAAGCTTTTACCTGAATAGTTTTCCTTGTTGTTAGTTTTAGGCTATTTCCTCTCACGTATTTGTTTTCCTCAGTGGGCAATAAGGAAGCTACAAATTTCTGAAGCAGGTATGCAGACGCTGTCAGAGGTTATGGCAATATAAATAATCTGAAATGACGACAAGTTATTGAGCTTCCTACTGACACTAGATTATACAGAGTTTTGCCATAACTCTTAGTGGAATGTTCTGCCGTTCTGTAGCTGTTTGTGAACCCATGTGATCACTGGGCAGATACCTAATATGAGCGGGCTTAGCTCTTGGATTTATCTGTCTGAGTGGTGTAGGTAGATTGACCCGGTTAGGATCCTGAGTGTCACCTGCTAGCAAAATGTGGAAGCATTTGCATTGCAAATGCTGCAGAAGAGATGATACCTGTTTTAAAATGAAGAGCAAACAACCTTTCCCCTCTGCTGATTCTTCTGGAATTATAATAAAAGCAAAGGCAGGTAAGTGACAGGGAGATGTGAAACACTGAAAATGTTGGTAAAAATTCAGTGTAAAAATAACCCACAATCTTGGGCCACAACTGCTATGACAGAAACCTCTGAGTACTTGGCTAAAGACATAATTAAAAGCACGTTGACTCCGTAATTTAGATTAAATGAGAGACTGCCTGCTGTACAGCGTGTCCTCCTCATGCATGCTGATCAAAGCACTGTCAGTGCTCTTGTAACCCGTTAATATTTAAATACCCTCCCCAAATGACATGCTCTGCCTTCTGTTCCCTTCCCCTCTCTGAGGGAAGCGCTGGGGACCAGGCTGCCAGGAAAGCTCTGCTCTGCTCGCGCCACCGACCATCCAGATTTCCCCAGTGCCCCTAAGGCATGGAGTTATTGCAAACGTCTTTCTGACAGCATAGGAGGGATGTTGGGCTCTCCTTTACAAAAGGTGCATGCTGCAGTGGATGCTGTGCCATACCTGCTCACCGTGGTGCTAAAGGCGGGTTTCTGACTGGGGAAACTGGTAGCAGGTCCCCTTTGCCTGGTTGCATATCACAAGCAAGGATGGGCTATGCTGATCTTCAGCTGTGAGTATGGTAGGGTGTAGAGTTTTCCTGGAGCGCTGCAGCGGCCATAGGTACACAAATGAACTGCAGTTGAAACAGATCCTAACGTCCAGGATCTGCCTGAGCTTGTTTACAGAAGCTTTGGGGCTCTCCAGCAGGAGCACAGCATCCCTTTCGCTGTGGAGCAGTGGTAATGAGAGTTTGTGCCCTTCATCAGGGATTTTCCTCTCTACTCCTCACTGTATATTGCCCCTGCTTTCTATTTTCCCCCTCTCTGGTGCTTCATCCCTCCTGATAAAACTCAACAGCCCTGTAGAAACTAAGAGAACAGAAAAACAGATTATTTTCTTCTGAAGGAGCTTCCATTGAGTGCTCGAGCCCATTCAAGAGAAGATCAGGGCTGTTATAGGCCAGGAGATCCAGAGGAGAGATTTCTCTCCCTTCGATAACATTGAGACATTTGGTAGGGTCATTTGCTTCTGCACGTGAACTGTAGAGGTCTGGCCACTTGAGCAAGATAGGCAAACACAGGGTATGTTCTTCCCATCCGTGTGCTGGGGTGACTGCCCAAGCCTGATACAGACACAAAAAAAAGGGAAGAGAGAAATATAAAATAAAAATAATAACAATAAAAGATTAGACCTCTGGCTGAAGTTCTGATAAACCATCCATCCACCGAAAGGATGAAGCAGGTTTTGTTCATACTAGAGAGCTGCCCTTGACTTTATTTCCCTGTCTAACCGTGAGAAGCTGTTCTAGCCATGCTAACCTTGTTCCAGAAAGCTAGGGCACCTTGGTTCCCAGAAATTGGAGTAGCATTTTGTGAGTTTTCCAGTGCAGAGTGGATCAGCAATAGTGAAAACGTTGAGAAATTTGTATCCATAATACACTTCTCTTGAAACACCTTGTTGTGTTGACTGTGGTGGGTGGTTATTTTTGCTTACTAGATTATTTGTAAACTCTTAGTGACTTAGGTAGCAATAAAGGCGTCCATCATATGGAATACCACTTTTCTATAGCAAAAGAGATTGACTGCCTCTGGTGACACCATGGGAATGTTCTGGCTTCGAGTCCTGTCAAGAAGGGTTGACCCCACGTGCCTTACACTTTTTGCTAAACACGAGGTTGTTTGTTGCTTGGAACATCATGGGGTTTGGCTTTGATTCTGACCAGAAAATGCCCTGTGATGATCCTGATAAATATTTTATTAAACTCTGCACGTGGTTCTGCAGGAGGAGGAAAAAAAATACCCCCTAGCTGATATTGGAGAAGTCCTAGCCAACATTCGTTCTTTTCCTGACTTTGTACTGTTTTCTTCGGAGCAGGGTGCAGCCCTCTGCTGTTCTGCTCGGGCACCCGTCTCCATACCCACCTCAGCTTCTTGGTGTTCCCTCTCTTGGCAGTGACTTCTGACACTGTTTTTCTGCTCCTGGTGCTGTTCCTCCTCTCAGCCCAGCTAGCAGCTTGCTTCCGTGGGCTGGTGGGATTATGGAGTTTTCTACTGCTTGGGTGTTGATTTGGATATTAATTTTGCCTGGTAATGAGCTAGATGATTCTGTACAATACATTTGT